TGTGGTTTTGTGAATGCGTTTATGTGGGAATATGGTGCCGCCTATGACCAGTTTATTGAACGCACATAGGTTTGCAAATCTCTCACCATTTTCGTTTCTTTCTCCCAGTCCATGTCGTCCCATGAAGTCTTCATATCCAGTGTTGTTCATTCCAACCTTGGCGTTGAAATCTCCCATCAGAATGGTCAGGTCCTTTGTTGGGCACATCTCTACGATTGACTGCAGCTTAGCGTCTTCATTGTAGTCGTTGATAGGCACACAGCATTGGATGATGTTCATTGAAATGCCCTCTTTCTTCGTTCTGAAAGAGGTTTTAATGATCCTTGGTCCATGAGATTCCCATCCTATAAGTGCCTTTTGTGTTTGTTTAGACAGCATCAATGCAACTCCTTGTGTATGTTGAGCATTTTCTTCTTCATGGCCGGAGTATAACAGGAGCTCTCCTGAAGTTAGTCGTTGTTGTCCAACTTGCTTCCGATGTGTTTCACTGATCCTAAGCACCTCTAGGTTGTATCCTCTCATTTCTGCAGCAATTTGGAAGGCTCTCCAGGTGTCCCACATTGTACGAGCATTCCATGTACCTAAATAAATGGTTGCTCTGATTGTCAGAAGGGGCATCGGCCTCGTAACTTCCGAAGGAATTCGGCTTTCATCATGAGGCGTCATAGTTCTTCTAAATGAAGACCTTCTGGCTCCCAGGGCAGAGTTTAGAAGGTTTGAATAATTTTTTCTGGTTAGCGTTTTTTTAGCGAGTTAGTTTTCTACGGGATAGGGACACTAACCCCATGCCAACCCTCCCCATTTATCCGGGCTTGGGACCGGCAGTAGCCCCCGGAGGGACTCCAGGCGGAGTTTCCTTAGGAATTCATCAGACTGTTATTCATTTTAGAAAGTTTTCTTAGACATTCTGTGAAATTTACTATAGGTACAGATTGGTTAACTTATACTTTTTCAGTATATATAGTCGTGTATAGATATCCATAGACGGGATAACAAATCATAATAAGCCCAAGATGAAGCAAATATTTTATTAAATAAGGTTAAGATAGATGAGTATTTGTGTTGAAAAACGTATATACCTCTAAGGTATTAAGAATAACTAACAAACAGAGAACGCCAATTGTTTTCCTCATTTTAATAGCTATTTCGATAAAACGTTTCAAACCTGATCTATGAGTATAAAAATCTGTGATAAATAGAATGGTAACCAAGTAGTATTATTTGCAGCACAATAATATAATTGATGTTCATGCATCAAACACATTTCGACTTTATTTACACTGATTTATTATTATTTTCGATAATATTATGTAATCATTAATTATTTTATACTTTAATTGTTCATTGTTACCCTCGCCCTCCCCTCTCTCCACATAAAACAGTCAGTTGTTTTCAGCATACAAATACACATTATTCTTAACCTCATTTAATGTAATATATTTCCTGGTCTTTCACTTCATATAATTTTGTATACCATGTTAATCATTCATGTTAATTTCATTAAAGCAAGTGAAACCTTTGAATCAGTTTTCCTCTGTCAATCATATTCTTGCTTTGGTTAAATTTATCAAATAATCCTATTTTAAATGACATTATTTTATTCAACTTCTGATGAAAATGATTTCCACGGAGACACTATCCAATAATTAAACGAAGAATAACTCCAATTGAACGACTGTAGACAATTGATATCTATTCATTATATTAATTTCAACTTCATTTTTATATTAATGATTACATTGTGACTTTGATTATGTATTCAGAGATCGGTAACATTTAAAGTGTTTATAAAATCTAGGTTTAATTGAATAGACAAAAACAATAATGCATTTTTCATGATATATTTGACAAATAAAACAAAGTACACACCAGCATAATTTGATTTTAATAATTGTTCTTTCTACTTCTGTTTAAAACAACCATGAGTATAAATTCCGTGTGTACTCACATGGTATTATAAAAGACTTACAACTTATTGTGATGTTAAATAATGGAAATCTTAAACCGACTTGTTGCACTTGTTAATATATCCTCCTAGCCAACCGTGGATGAATATACTGGAATTCATCTATTCAATATTCCATGGGGGAGGAAAATTAATTGTATCACCCGAATTGACCATGAACTTTTGTTTGGACAATTACTGATCATGGAGAAAACATTTATTGAATATAACTCTCAAATAATCACAATTTGAATGTTCATGAAAAAGTAATTAGTTACAGTATTGCTCAACTGATACTGAAAATCCCTAGCTGTAAGTTTGTTTTCAACTCTTGAGAATGAGGTAATTACCCACAGACGGTATTAGGTGATGTCGCTCTATGCAGTAAGTTGATTGAAGTTGGAAATATGTACCATTGATCCATACATAAACTGCTCATTTGGAGACCTGCATTCTGTGGATTTGATCCACCCAGTGAGTATAAGTGTATTATGTTGAGAAGTCACAAACTAGAACGAAACACATGTTGAATGTGTTGGGGACGATAGATCCCCAAACTCATATTTTAAATTTTATCTTATCGATCAAATGTTAGATATTTTTATTGGGGTCAATTGATGAACTATCGGTTAAATGCGCAAATAGGTCAATTAATGAACTCATTGATTAATGTTTAAAAATTTTCTATCGATTGTAAATAATTGTATAAATACGCTTGACTTGTATGCTTGATCTGCCTGCCTGACTTGTTATCTGCTGTTGCTTGTAGAATATACTTTCTACGCCTTACCAAGACTTCTTGATCGAGTTAGCAGAGTTGGGGACAACGGACCAGAATAGGCTATCGAGATTCTGAATCCTTGATCCGATCGATAAGTCACTGTCATATAATCGGCTGTCAATTTGAGCCATAACAATTAGCGACGGGGTAAAAAAAAAGAACAATCCAAAGTCAGCCTTCAGCATCCAGATTTGTCATCAGTGTCCTTCAGCAACATTGTTCATTAATCAAACAGTAATTTGCATTACCGGTGCTGAATAAAAAAAAATGACTCTCCCTTCCGATCGAGTACAGCTGCTATTTGAAAGACAGTTGGAGTTTTTAGTCAAATTACGCACGCAGCTGTTAAATCACTCATGCTTTGGAGATGCAGCGGAAGTGGATGGATTGATCTCTCAACTGCACACAGAGCTGGAAAATGATTGCAGCCCCAATGAATCCTCGATAAACCGTATTTCAAACGGTACAACAGTCACTCAAGATTCGCCCAGTGGTCCAGTCCTCTCCATCCCAGAAACATGCCCGGTAATGGACTCAAACTCCATTATCCCCAAAACAACATGTGCAGACGGTGACTTATCCAGCTCACAAACACACTCCCTGGTAAATACTCATAGAATTGTCGCAATAACCACCCATGAAACAGAAAACAAATCGAGCAGTACACTGAATACAACTGCTTCAAATGGTTCTCATCAGTCTGCGACAGATGTTTTTGACAAATCTTATTATCAAGATTCTCTTTTACCAGAAAAAATGTCAGATGCATCAAATGATGATCAAAAACTTAATACAATTTTGATAGATGCTAATTACCTTGATGATCCATTATCTACAAATAAGATTCCAAATAAATTTGGTCACAATATTTCAGAAGAATTAAACTTCGAACACCTCATATCAAGTGTCGTTCAGCCTCAAGACTTAGTCACTTTCAGTCAATTCTCTGTTCAGTGCGATAAATATGTCTTAAATAAATTCAAGTTAATTATAACGTGGGCATATGAGGATCCAACACTGTTTCGTGGGGGGGGGATGGACCTGGAAAACTTAAAATCCGGATATCAACTCCGGATCTTCTAAAAAGGGGAGGAGTGTTGGGGACGATAGATCCCCAAACTCATATTTTAAATTTTATCTTATCGATCAAATGTTAGATATTTTTATTGGGGTCAATTGATGAACTATCGGTTAAATGCGCAAATAGGTCAATTAATGAACTCATTGATTAATGTTTAAAAATTTTCTATCGATTGTAAATAATTGTATAAATACGCTTGACTTGTATGCTTGATCTGCCTGCCTGACTTGTTATCTGCTGTTGCTTGTAGAATATACTTTCTACGCCTTACCAAGACTTCTTGATCGAGTTAGCAGAGTTGGGGACAACGGACCAGAATAGTCTATCGAGTCGCTGAATCATTGATCCTTCGTTCCGTTTCGAGTAAGACGCATCAGTAATCGCATTCAAGCAATAACGAAACATAACAGAATGTCCCCTGTTTTTAGTGGTTTCCCCCTCATCTAGCTAGTATTAACTTATGAAGTAAAGCAACCACAATTCAAGCCAATCCTTACCACTAATTATTACATGAACGTTATATCAATTGTTGCATCAAGTTTTAGAATTTTTACAGTAAATAAATTAGTTCAGAAGACTCAAGTTAGATTTTCATTAAAAACTATATTGGTTTAGCTTCATTTTAATTTTTTCTCCAAGTAAGTTGTCCATGAAAAACGGAATTTCACCTTTAATTTCTGAACAGCTTCAGGAATATTTTGTTTTTGCTACAGAGATGATCCGAAAACTATATCTCCTGACTAACTTTATGTTTTATCTTCTATTGCATATGATTTTATTTCTAAACTTATGTAGCAGAAGATGATAAGTTGAAAGTTCTGTGTCTAATTGATCTACAAGTTAATACCTTGAAATTATTAGCTGAAACCTCATGGGAACCGATACGTTCCATGAGATTTAAGTTCATGTCACTTGGTGTGACAATTATACAGATTACCACAATAAGTCTGTATAAAGACAGTAAGGGCTAGAAAAATATGACATTAGTAATTGGATAGTAATCATTTAACGTGAATGCTTCAGTTATATATATGAGAACTTATTCAAATTCTTTATACAACTGTATCTTATCCCTTCCTAATTAATGTTATTTGTTGACTAATAATAAGAAACAATAGAGAATAATTACTTATTAATTTAGTTGTTCGTATTAGAAAAGAATATTTTTAAATAGAATAATCTTGTAATCATGTTCATATAGTAGTAGTAGTAGTAGTAGTAGTAGTAGTAGTAGTAGTAGTAGTAGTAGTAGTAGTAGTAGTAGTAGTAGTAGTAGTAGTAGTAGTAGTAGTAGTAGTAGTAGTAGTAGTAGTAGTAGTAGTAGTAGTAGTAGTAGTAGTAGTAGTAGTAGTAGTAGTAGTAGTAGTAGTAGTAGTAGTAGTAGTAGTAGTAGTAGTAGTAGTAGTAGTAGTAGTAGTAGTAGTAGTAGTAGTAGTAGTAGTAGTAGTAGTAGTAGTAGTAGTAGTAGTAGTAGTAGTAGTAGTAGTAGTAGTAGTAGTAGTAGTAGTAGTAGTAGTAGTAGTAGTAGTAGTAGTAGTAGTAGTAGTAGTAGTAGTAGTAGTAGTAGTAGTAGTAGTAGTAGTAGTAGTAGTAGTAGTAGTAGTAGTAGTAGTAGTAGTAGTAGTAGTAGTAGTAGTAGTAGTAGTAGTAGTAGTAGTAGTAGTAGTAGTAGTAGTAGTAGTAGTAGTAGTAGTAGTAGTAGTAGTAGTAGTAGTAGTAGTAGTAGTAGTAGTAGTAGTAGTAGTAGTAGTAGTAGTAGTAGTAGTAGTAGTAGTAGTAGTAGTAGTAGTAGTAGTAGTAGTAGTAGTAGTAGTAGTAGTAGTAGTAGTAGTAGTAGTAGTAGTAGTAGTAGTAGTAGTAGTAGTAGTAGTAGTAGTAGTAGTAGTAGTAGTAGTAGTAGTAGTAGTAGTAGTAGTAGTAGTAGTAGTAGTAGTAGTAGTAGTAGTAGTAGTAGTAGTAGTAGTAGTAGTAGTAGTAGTAGTAGTAGTAGTAGTAGTAGTAGTAGTAGTAGTAGTAGTAGTAGTAGTAGTAGTAGTAGTAGTAGTAGTAGTAGTAGTAGTAGTAGTAGTAGTAGTAGTAGTAGTAGTAGTAGTAGTAGTAGTAGTAGTAGTAGTAGTAGTAGTAGTAGTAGTAGTAGTAGTAGTAGTAGTAGTAGTAGTAGTAGTAGTAGTAGTAGTAGTAGTAGTAGTAGTAGTAGTAGTAGTAGTAGTAGTAGTAGTAATACATAGTTTCATCATTACAATTTACATTCGTAGTTCTTATTATAAATAAGATTACTATCATTTTTATTTAATTTACTTCCTATTGATCACTATTTTACACCCATGTTCTATGTTCATTTCATTTTGTTTTTTTAATAGAATCAATTTTGATAGTATCTGTAACATTCAAAAAGAGTAAGAGTAATTCTCTTATTTAAAACAATAGAAATATTCATTACCAATTTTAAAAAGAACACAATAGAATATCTTTGTATGGTGATATTTTCAAAATAGAATAACACAGCTTTTGGGGTGGATTTATCCACAACGTTTCCATGTAAGCCTAATGTTTCACTCAGTGTAATAACGGTCATGTCTACGTTCATGTAATTATAGAATTTGTCATTTTATAATGTATTTTTTTAATTAAATAACTAGATTATACTGTAAATTTTGCTCTGGTCCAACTGCGTTACACTGTACGTTCATTGCATTCTGAGATGATATCCCAAGTCACTGTAAGTTTAATCACATTGTTGATTGTTTCCAGATAGACCGACAGTGTATAATGCTACTGAAGAAAGGTTTTCTGTGCTGTAAACTATGTTTTTATGGACAACTGACTGTTGTCTTCAGTTTCAAAACAATATATATTTCCTTTGTCTTCTGCTAGGTAAGTTCGACTGGCCTATAGTTCGTGTTTTTGGTTTATCGGCTGAACTATGTTCATTTAACTACTTTGAGTAACATGTCTGTGCAAATGAAACAATAATTATGACACTTGCCTAGTTTAGTATTCTTGGTTGTCATGTAATTCAGTTTAGTCTATAGAATTATAGTATACTTAAGTATAGTGCTTGAACCCCGTAACGAAATAGATCAATTTATTAAGTAGAGCTGCCTTTTTTTTAATGAGTATACTGATTCAAAGCAGTCTGATCAAAAATAGGAAAAAAATACCTTTGGTACTGTTGCTGTCATACATTATAAGCTAGCTTTAAGTATGTTTGGTGTTTATTTGTAGACTGTGCGTCTAGCGCTGTTTATATTTTGTAAGGTTTTAGATCAACAACAAAACACCAAATGTTTATATTCTAATTAGTTTTTGTAATTTTTAACTCATACATATTGATTTAAATAATGTGCGGAAACACGTACATAGGGAGGAGCAATCGTGATCATTGACTCAATAAGCGTGGGTGAACATACCAAAATGGCTGCAAAAACAAATGAATTCCGATGGTCAAATAAGATAACAGGATAGACAGACATCATCCTCCATTGCGAAACATTTGATTGAATTTGATCATAAGGTTGACATCAAGTCAGCATTTGTAATGTTATACAAAAACCTTCAAGGACGTATACTAAGGTTTATTGAAACCGTGGCTATTGAAACCCCCTTTATGCGTTCAAAAACAATTTGTCCTTACACTTAACCTACCTTGGTAATTCTGATTTACTATCCAGAGTGGTAATCACGCTGTTTTTGTGTACTTTAATATTATTTTTCTCTTTGTTATGGCTTACCTTTAATCTATCTAGTTGACCTTTAATTTTCATATAAAAATGTATATGTGTGATCAGATTGTTCGAAATGTATTGCGCAAATATATCACATAATTCTGATAAGCTTCGTCTTCTCATTCCATTATCGAAATTTATCAAAGGGGCTAATTGTTTTAAAGTTAAGGAAATTAAAACAAACCATAATTATGTACAAAATGAATGAACAATTTAAAATGAAGAAATGAATTGACAAACAAATTCAAGTAAAACAATATCAAGTGAATTCAACTTCAACCCATTGCACAAGCAAGTGGCTATCAGGACTCAGTAGCTAAGTGGATAACGCGATGGCGTTTGAAGCTGAACGGTACTGAGTTCGAGTCCCAGAGTGAACATCAACTCTGAGATGCAAGTACATCCAGCTGACGAGTCCCAAACAGGACGAAACGTGCGTCCTGGATTCCACTGCTAGCCACTATCCATCTTTGCTTATAATGCTTGTAAACATAATTTGTTTATATAAATTAAGTTATATTACTTATATTGATATCATCAATGAGTTTTCGATATTCATTTTTCGTTGTTGTTGTTGTTGAATCGATCAAATTTCCTTATTCGGCTAAGAGATCGGTAGAGATTGTTTATATTGGAATATGTTTCCATTACTGACTGAGTGATGAATCGTCGGAATTTGACTCATTTTCAAACTGGTTTCATATTTAGCACAATATCTGAAGGTTTTCCATACGATTTCTAGTTGGGTAGCGAGTACGGGTATTTCTGCGTATATTCTAAGACTAGGCTAAAACAGAACTCCACCTGTAGCTCTTATAGGATCACTGCCGGTCCCGAGCCCACACAAAAGAGGAGCGTTGGACACATAGTCGGCAACACTATCCCGGACAAAACAACATTACTTAAACAACGTTGACTAAAATAAACAATTTAAAACATTCAAACTTTTCCCTCTGACTTGAAGAATCTTCATTCAAAAGATTTATCACGCATCACGGTGAAAGTTGGTACTCTTCGAAAGTCAAGAGGCCGATGTCCCTTCTAACAACCAAAGCAACAATTAATATAGGTACAAGGAATGTTTGGACAATGTAGGAGACCAGGAGAACCAATCAAATAGCAGTGAAAATGAGGAGATACAACTTCAGGGTGCTCGAAATTAGTTAAAGATATTGGACTTAAGGTGGACAGAAAACGATAGATTTGGGAAGGATACTTCTGCACTTTGTTCAGGGGTAAGAAAGCGCTCCACACACTCAGGTAGTCACTTTGATGCTGTCTAAAGAAGCACGTAATCTATTCGTAGAATGAGAATCTTAAGGATCCAGAATCATCAAAGCATCTTTCAAAATAGAAAGGAGGGAATCACAATCAGTGTTATCCGATGTTATGCACTCACCAATGATGGTGACGACGACGATATAGATCAGTGAAGTGCCCACGAAACAACCTGACCATATTGATGCGAGACGTAAACGCCAAAGTCAGAATGGAGAACATCAGGTATGAAGATATCATGAGACTCATGGACTGATTGTGAGAAAGGAACAGAAACAAGAGATATGCGAATTTACATTTATTCAACAAAATGTTTATAGGTGGCATGATATTCTTCCACAAATGCATACACAAAGCAACATGAGCCTCATCGGATCACACTACACGGAACCACGTCGATAATATTTGCATCAATAAAAATTCAGAAGTACAATGGAAGACGTAAGAACCATGAGAGGAGCTGACATAGCTTCTGATCATCGTCATCATCTGATGTTTGCTAAGCTGAAACTGAAGCTAAAGAAGAGATAGACAGGTGGAGAATCAGTATTACAAATGTTTAGTACAACGTTGCATTTAGATACTGACAAACCCAACGAATTCACGATAGCTCTCAATAATAGATTTCAAGCCTCACAGGATATACTGAAAGAAGAAGAAACTACTATAATGAACAGTTGTAAAGGGATCAAAGAAGTACTAGCCTCAACAAGTCAAGAGGTGCTGGGCCTCGTGAAGCATCATCATAAGTAATAAATCTTTATCGAAATCCTGGACAAGATTCGAGAAAGGAAGAACAAGAAGGCTGCAATTAATAACAGCCGAACGAGAACAGATAAAGTCAAGACACAATCTGAATACACTGAAACAAACAAGCAAGTGAAGAAGAGCACTAGAGCCGAGAAGCAGAAATACGTAGAAAAGCTAGCAACGACAGCGGATAAAGCTGCAACAGAAGGAAATATGAGACAGCTGTATGATATGAAGAAGAAACTAGTAGGGAAATATAGTAAACCAGAGAGACCAGTCAAGGACAAAGAAGGCAAGTCAATCACTGAGATTCGAGAACAGAGGAATGAATGGATAGAACATTTTGAAGAACTTTTGAATGGACCAGCCCCATTGAACCCACCAGACATCGAGGTAGCACCAACAGACCTTCCTATAGATCTCACTCCACCAACGATCGAAGAAATCAGGATGACCATCAGACAAGTCAAGAGTGGGAAATTATCAGGAACTGACAATATACCATCCGAAACACTGAAACCACACATAGAAGTAGTTGCAAACATGCTCCACTGTTTATTCAGGAAGATTTGGGTGGAGGAACTAGTGCCGACACACTAGAAAGAAGGAAAGTTCATCAAGATACCGAAGAAAGCAAATCTGAGTAATTGTGAGAACTACAGAGGCATCACACTACTATCGGTACCAGGAGAAATTTTCAACAGAGTGTGGCTGAACCGGATGAAAGATCCATTAGACGTCCAGCTTCGAGATCAGCAGACCGGATTCCGTAAGGATTGGTCATGCATAGACTAAACTGCGACACTACGGATCCTCGTTGAACAATCAGCTGAATGGAATTCGTCACTACACATCACATTCATTGATTATGAGGTGTTTTACAGTGTGGATAGGAAGACTATATAGAAATTTGTTCGACCCTATCGTGTACCTGAGAACATCGTTAGCAGCATCCAGAATTCATACGATGAACTACACTGCAAAGTGGTGCATGGAGGACACCTGACAAACTCATTCCAAGTGAGGACCGGTATCAGACAAGGCTTTTAACTCTCCTTCCTTCTCTTTCTTCTGATGGTCGACAGGATTATAAAGATCTCGAAATCCGAAGGAAAGCACGCAATATAGTGTACACCTCGGAATCAGTTAGAAGATTTGAACATCGCAGATGACCCGGCCCATCTATCCGAATCACTTAACAAATGCGGATGAAGACAACTATTGTGGCAGTAGCTCTAGAAGATGTGAAATCTTTCACGTATCTGGGCAGCATCATCGATGAACGTGGAGGATCTGGTGCAGACGTAAAGGCATGGATTGGTAAAGCAAGGGTCTCATTCCTAAAGTTGAAGAACATATGGAACTCAAGAAACTGTTAACTTACATCAAAGTCGGAATCTTCAATACGAATGTCAACACAGTACTTGGAGAACTACCACAATCATCATCAAAAAGGTAAAATTTTGTACTGTCTATTAACTGTC